CATTGAAAGATTCGAAGAGTCATGAAACATGGAGATATCATTAGATTCATAACTCATTCAAATAGCCATAAACAGTATTCCGTCGATTTCAAAGAGAACATTTAACGGGAAACATTATGATGTTTTTTGGAGGCAGTCTACATTTGTTGGTTCATGCCACGAGTATTTTGGAATGATCTAGTAGTTTAAACGATATCTCTGGAACTGTATGTACATGGGGGTTGAGAGAAACAATCTGTAATCACACAAAAATTTAAAATAAAATAAAATAGAAATCTGAATTACCGACAAGCGTAGTGAATTGAAATTGATTCGTCATCCCCCAGAAAATCGACATTCGAACAAACGAGAATTTGATTTCCAATTCGTAGCATTCATCGATAACTCAGATTTCTCTTCACTACTTCGTTTTGGATGTAATCAATACGTCTCTGTGTAGAGTCAATCTTGTTGAATTGAAAAAAAAATCGTCTCAGCGGTTGTTTAGTTATCAAGATGAAAATTTCAAAATTTGCGTTTTTTGTTCTAATGAACAGACAAATAGGAATCGGTCGGGAAGTAATTGGTTCGACCTGTAATGGGTCACACCCACTCCAACGCAGCGAGCGACCAAACACCCAGTCGAATTACAATCCACCCGTAATGGGAGCGAGCGAAGCGAGCGACCAACAACCCAGACCAATTTTATAATTCGATTTTATGTGGATGCCAAGTAAAATCGTTTCAGCCGTTTTGTAGTTATCAGGACGGAAACTTCAAAATTTGCGTTTTTTGTTCTAATGAACAGACCAATGCGAATCGGTCGGGAAGTTATTGGTTCGACCCGTAATGGGTCACACCCAATTCCACCGGTCCCCTACCGGTCACACCCCAAAGAGCGAGCGCGCAAAGCGCGCGAGCGGGCCTGATTTTTTTTATGTAATTTAGTTGTTTACCGCAATCAATGGAATATATTACTAAAATTTTCTCAATTAAACCATTTTATTAAGGATAATGAACCAGAATTCACGTGTTTAAGGATACAAAGTTAAAATGGGAAGTGCCCGGTGGCCTGGCGTAGTGGTTAAGGCCGTTGCCTCACAACGGATAGGTTCCAGGTTCGATTCCTGGCCGGGTAGAATGGTGAGATCTAACCATTTTTAAAGTCTTGATCAATCGCCATATAGTCTCATCAGACTCGAAGCGATATAAAATAAGCATAAAAAAAAAAAAAAAAAAAAAATGGGAAGTAATTTTCAGGTTTTCATAATTATTCTTCATTTCATTTCGGGGGAAATTGAGAATCATCTGGAAACATCGACGTCTGGGATAGGGTTTCGGCGTCGGACTCATTCTTCTCAACCTCAAGAACTTCTTGGAAAAATAATAAATCCCGGTACAGCCTCCAAAACGGTTCACAAACATGTCCATGTCGCTCAGCCTTCAATTGCAGGCCATGAAGGATGACAAAACGACATACCTAGGCTTGAAGTTTCGAGCAGATTTGCTGGCCTAATTGTAGCAAAAATTCGTTGTGAATATCAAAATTGAATATTTCCTTTCCATTCAAAAGTAAATACCTAAAATGGCAGGATTAAAATAATTCCTGATTTCCTCCCAGACGGCTGAGTTCTCTGTATCAAAATCAGGTGCGACATCCTTCCACAATTCAGGATGATTTTTCACCAGGTTGATCAGGAGTTTTCCTTAAAGGAAGACCATGTTTTAATCCTGATTACAATCCACTGGAGGTTACAACACGTGTTGGTATCGGTTTGAACTTGGCGCTTCTCCAAAAATTCATAACTCACTTCCGGCCATTCCGCCCAACCATAACCATTGTTTTTCTCAAAAAATGCTAATTTTTCATGAATTTTTCTAGGATTTTCCGCGCAACGAATCGAAGGGAGGGAGCAATCACTAGAAAGATGAGAATTCCACCAATCTAGCGTTTTTTTAACCGAACTCAGAACGACCAAATTCATTTTTTAATTAATTATTCGAACTGAGCATTTTAGCTAGTTTTCCGGTTTTCAATATTTTATTACTCTATAGCGAGACCTCCTAGAGGATTTTTTCAAGCAGACTCGTAATCAGCGTGAAAAAATCTTCAAAACCATGTAGGTTTCATAATTGTAATAAAACTGACCCAAATTCTGTAGTACCGTGTTATCTGATAACTATTCCACTTCCAGACCCCCATTTTGTATTCATTGAAAGTTCAAAATTATCTGTGAATGTGGAATAAATTTTTTTTATTCAACGTTCTTTTCGCGAAATCGTAAAATATACGAGGTGGGGATTTTCTTATTGTGCGACCAACTACGTTCGGTGTAGAAACCTCTATACTGATAAGGATGATTTTTTAAAAGGAAGAAGAGCGAATTAAAAATATAGTTTAACAATCAAAAATAGAACAAAAAATGTTTTCTTCATTTAAATGATCTTTTTGATTTTTCAGAATTTGTTCAGATTTTTGAACAACTTCTTTAGTCAACGATATGTCATTTTCAGTGAAAACCGTTTTTAAAATTAATTCCTTTTTTCCAAAAAGTATTGAATCCATCAATCTGCAATTTTACACAGGAGTGTAACTCAGCGATAGTAATGAGTCCTCAACATTTCAGGGTTTCACCACAACTTCCATTCATGTATCGAAACGGCAAAAGAGCGTCCAGATTTACAAAGTGGAAAGAACGGCAATTGAAATGGGATGAATAGTTTTTGAAATATTTGCTAATATAATTACACAAAAAGTAGAAAATCTCCAAAAATATTCATTTGATCTCGTCTATCAGAAATCCTAACCTATTATATTGTAAGAGTTGGAATCCTGCTAAATTTAGATTCTCTATCTGAATTTTTTCTAGAGTTATCGTCCTCCCACCGATTTTATGACAAAAATGAAAAATGTAAATTATTATGCGAGCAGCCCAAGTTAGCTAGGTACAGCAAGGTCTGATTCGATAGATAATGTCCTCAGGAATATTTTGACGGAAAAAAAAGTTTATTTAATGGACTATGTTTCGAAATATTAAGAAAATAAATGTAGCGATTCAGCGAATCGCTACATCTAAAAAACTAATGGACTGATTGAGCTGAAATTCGGCAGAGAAGTGCCTCTACATAATATCAATTTGTTATGCCCCAGAAAGTGGAGCATAATTTCCCAATTGATTCAGGAGTGTGGGACATATGAAATAACACACATTTCGGAATCAAAATTTAAAATTAGAAATCGAAAATAAAATTAAGAATATACGTGTTTTTCAATGCCCGTATTGAATTAAAAGTAAGCCAGTGGAACGCGCATCAGCAGTTTCCACTGGGCTTATTCGCATGATGTTATCATTACACCATGCATATATGAGGTAATGACCAAGACGTCATGGCCTTTCGATCAAATAAATATTCGGGAGTCCATTGTCTCGGGGCCAGTAACTTGACGACAGTATCACTGTTCATCGGATACCTTCAGTATTGAACACATTCAATTGTAACTTCGCCAAATTTAGATTTAAACAAACGAGTATTATTTAGTATTTGTCGCGAGTACTATTATTCCAAAATACAGAACTCAACCCGCTCGGGACTCTAACAAATTATAGGCCATAAATTTAGATTTTAAGCTTTCACTTTGGTCCTTTTTTGTAAAGATTTATAGAAAATTCGCAGAATTTTGCAGGCACATACGGACATACACACAGACATTTTCTAAGAACACCAAATCTCGGCGTTTCATGGTATTCTAAGCCGTTTCCAAGTGAAATTAGAGAATCACATAACCCATCGATTACAAAACCTCCATTTGAAAACAAAAACATAAAACCTGACTATTTTCATCTTTATCCTATCAAACGTCGAACGGACACTTATTTTTATGCACTGTCATGTCCCGACCATTTTTCAGAGGTGGTAACATGGGAAGTGGCCAATGAAAAACCAAATTTGAACTTGGGCTGTTTCATGCATGAAAAGCATTGAACGGAGACCACGGTGAAATTGGAAAGTCTCTGGGTATAACAGAGATAATTGTAGAAGAGATCATTCATAACATATATTGTAGGTGAAAAAAAGTAGGAAAAAATCGAACTCTGAGATTTTCGGAAGCTTCTAAAGGGTCAGAATGGGTCCAAATCTACAAATACGTCATAGTGCCTCAATTTTCGACTGATTCAGCTGATATTTGAGTTATACATAGTTGAAATAGGCACAAAAAAAACAAAGACGGGTTTTAAGAATATTGATTTTTTATATGTATTTATATTTTTGCTCCCCAGTGGTATGCCTTAATTTGTAATAATATGAACGAAATCCAAGTACATACTATCTTAATGAATTGCAAATTCAAATTGCACCGCCGTCTTTTCTTAAGATAGGATGGATTTGAATTTCGTCCATATCGTTAGCTATATAGAAAAATAACGTAAGTGCCAAAATACGAGAATTCAATAGAAAAAGAGAAACAAAAAACAAATATGGGAACTGGAATTAAAAATTTAAAACTTCTGGTATGAGGAGATTTTTTGGCACTTACGTTAGTCTTCTATACAGCTAACGATATTATAATAAATTGGAACCTAACACTATGAAAGAAAAAATATATAAATACATATAAAAAATCAATATTTTCAAAATCCGTCTTCGATTTTTTTGGTGCACATCTCAACTGTGTGTAACTCAAATTTCAGCTAAATCGGTGAAAAATTCAGCCACTTTTGTAGATTTTTGTAGATTTTGACCCATTTTGACCCGTTCTGACCCTTTAGAATCTTCCGATACTTTCGCAATTCGATTTTTTCCCCCTTTTTTCACCTAGAACACATTAAAAACTTTTACAATCGTCTCCATAATACCCAGAGACTTTCAAATTTCACCGCGGTCTCCCCTTAAATTTGATCGTCATTTCTGCCATTTTTTCATGGTTCAGAACATTTTTTATTCGAAAATTCCGCCGCAGCCTCCTTCAAATTCCATGAAAAGATTTATTCAGATTTATTCTACAGCATTTTTTATTTCAGGTAAAAACCAACAGAATCCTCATGGTGGTTGTGCAACAGACTGGAAAGCTTCAAATAGCCTTGCTCAATGTTACCAAACAGCTAAACCAACAAAACGTGAAACAATCCGAAAAATAGACCTTGCTAAAGACATATTCGATAACAATAAAAACTACGCGAAAGGAATGCATCGAGTACTAAATGGTACTAAAGTGAGTAAGAAATTGATTTTAGACGATGAGACTGATAATATAGCAGATAAGACCTGGAAAAAGTGCAAAAATTCGAATGAAAAGAAAGACTTTAGTGCAGATGAGAATTCCTCACCAAGTTGGAACCGGGCGTTATTGAAAATTCCGTTGAGTAATGAAAATGGTGCGGCCATTGAAAACATAGCAGAGAGGATAAAAAAGAGGAAAGTCGCACAATCTCAAGCGATTAATCCAATAATAAACAAAATTCAGAGTCCACGGAAAACAAGGAGCAGAACCGTATCATCGAACAAAGAGGCAATTAATTTATCCTTAAAATTGAAGAGGAAAATGCCAGCAAAATCAAAAAGTTTGAAATTACAATTCACCAATACAACTGAAATAATTGAGTCACCACTTGTGTCAAATGTTGAAACCGAAATTGTGAAAGTGAAAAGGAACTCACTAAGACCGAAAAGGAAAGAAAGTGTCGGTGCATCAAATCAACAAATTGAGAGCGTGAGAAATAAGAATCTGGATGATATGGCAATCGAAGAACAAAGTAAAATAGAGAGCCTCTTGCGTCAAGAGAAAGAGGACTATGAGTTGGCACAGAGATTGCAAGCTCAATTCAATGAAGTGGGCAGCATTTCGTACAGAACAAGGGGATCAAAACGTGCATTTGACTCTGGTGAGATTGAGCGAGGGATTGATAACATCAGAATTAATGGTAGATTATTGGTGGATAATGTCAACACTGCCAAAACATCCAGTCGTGCGACAAAGTCAAGGCGAAGACAGAAACGAGATTAGACATTGCTAAAAATTCTCCAAATTAGAGATTCAATGAAATAAAGAATAGTAACCCTTTAATATAATCTCCTGCACTTATTGAGTGAATGTGCGTTTTTATTAACATACAGGATATCAACTGCGGAGTGATAAAGGCGTAATGAGTAAGAACTAATTAAATAAATGATACAATTAGAGTAATTGAAATTGTATGATGAGAATCAGTCAATTGTGTAGCGAAGTGGTTAGACACGGTTTATGTACTATAGGAAACCCATAATGCTTAAACCGCTTTACTACTTCCTGATTTTATGTGGGAGTAAATATTGAGTAATTTTAATTTACAGCTAAAGGAGTTGTAAATAAGAAATATCTGCAGACGTTTTGTTTTAAAATCCATTCCACTTTCAGTTTTGAAATTCGATTTTTTTCCACATAGTAAATCTTGCGATTATTCATACGGTATTCATTTTTGTGGAAGAAAGGATCAAATACAAGATCACTTATTACCGAAATGATTGAATATTTAGTAACATGGAGAGACTCGATTGTTACCTTTCACAACTCCACTACTGATATAATGTATGTTAATTCAATTGGTAAATAACTGAATCGAATATTGAAAATAATTCCAAAGTAGTGTGTCCCTCCAATATTTCCCAATCCGAAATTTTTAATTATTCCATCCAGCTATTTAAGGGTGCAATCTGTAGAGGGCCAAATGAAATAATGTGAATGTGTATTAAATTTGTAGAAGGATCACGCTTCCTTGTGTATCACATCAAGGCTAGTATTTCAACTACTTGTAGAATTGTAAATATCCAAAGTGGAACTAAATCTTGAATAAATCATAAATTTTCATTTGTAGATATTTAGAGGTTCTTCTTGTACATTTTCAATATGAATATATTTTGAGGGCTTTTAGGTGAAGCGGAAATTTTTTCTCTCTAAATTCTAATTCTCTTAGAATTCTTTAATGCCTAAAGGAGGTTAGGCGGTGTATGAGGTGAATTTGAGAGTGAATTTCTGTGGTTCCCGGTAGCTTATTCGGTAAGAGTGCCCGGCGCGTATCTGGGAGACCCGGGTTCGATTCCCGGCTGGGTGAAGCGAAAATGTTTTCTCTCTAAATTCTAATTCTCTTAGAATTACATCTTTATATCTTGAAAGATTTAGTACATCCTTCTGGGGGTTTCATCATTGTTTTCTTTCAGGAAACTGCTGCTATGAAATTCTAGGTCGATATTTTACATGCAATAACCATGAACTCAGAAAGAAAATTCCTTTTGCCAAGGAATCATTTTCTTGGGAGAAGAATGAATTTTTTTAGAATCATATTTCCTCAGGCCAGTTATTCCCAGATGGTCCATGTACGTGTCCAAATATTATAATTATGTTGAATTATGACATTATTTTGCTACATCGGGCGTTCCATTTTATTTAAACGGTGAATTTAGCCCAGTAAGAAATCCGTAAACTTTTGAACATTTATATTTCAATAACTAGGCATTTTATATGGAAAACTCAAAAGAGCTTCATTGTTTGGAAAGGATGGTTAGTTATTAAAAAAATATATCGCTCGGAAAAAGTAGATATTATCCTTGTCTGACGTCACTCTCCTTCCTCAGGATGATGTGTGGAGTTTGTAGGTGCTGCGAGGTGCCGTGCGGATGGGATCACTATCTTCCAGTACTTATTGGACAGGTGATGTTTCGGGGCGGTTCGGGCTCCTACGTCACTGCTGAGCCATGCGGTAATGGAAATGGACTGGGGCTATATCTTCCTTCTCTTTCCAGCGGGTTAACGCTCTCGCTCTCTCTGCTGGGCAGTCATTCTGGAGCTGCTTTCGTTATGTTCTTCTGAGTCTTAAGGTGGGGAGAAGGATATTTTGGGGATTTAAGGTAGCCAAAGGTGGCTGGTTATATTTTTGAAATGTAAGCTAAGTCCACTATACGGGAGGGCTGTGTCATTAAAGTTAAAACTGTAGGATACTTCCCTTACAGAGTGGAGAAAGCGTCGATTATTTACAGAGGCAGAAATACATAATAAATAGCAAAATATATACATCATCCGATCATCGATAATTCAAAGAATTTTTTTTTTTTACCCTTTTTCCTTTCTTCTTTTCATTCATCCAGTGCACACAGAAAATTATAATGAGTGGAAGTGAATATACAGGAGAGAATTGGACAGATAAACGTTGAAACATTATTAGATCACCAACCGATCGTCAAAAACTATAATATTTATTACTCTTCGTTAATTTCTTAGCTCTTCGTAACCTTAAAAATTTAGGGACTCTTCATTCATTAATTATACATTTGGATAAGTTATCTCTTCATTCATTCATTCATTATCTAATCGGAGAGAGCACTAGGGAGAGTGGAGGTGGAGAAGTTCCGTGAGGAAATTGTGGATTTTTCGGAGGGTTGAGGGAGAAGGGTTGTCAAGGATAGCACATAAGGAGAGAGTAGGAAGAATGTTGTCATTAAAATATTTAACTCGGAGGGAATCGAAACGGGGGCAGATGGAGAGGATGTGAGTTAGAGTCTCAGATTCTGCTAGTTGGCAGTTTGGACATTTAGTGGAGGGATGAAAAATCAACTGACAGGAACCAATGCGTAACGCAGAACTATAGACATTCGAAAGCCTCAAATTAGCAATTGTTTGTTTGATTTCTAAGGAGAGATTTTTGGAGAGATAATCAGCCAGGTCCAGAGAAATGTCAAGATGTTTGAAAAATATCAGACTCGTGGAAACTGAAAGGCTGTTTAAATCACACGTAAGCAAGTGATTTTTGAATCTATTCAGAAGATACGTCTGATTATCTGTCAGGAGTGTAACATCGAGATTGTCCCAGAGATCACCCTTTTCACAGAGTTGAAATAGCCGTTTTACTTGAAGGGTCCAGTTATATCTCGGATCATAATTAGTCGGAGATTTCAATTTGTTGAAGCATAATTTTGGATATTTAGAGTTATCTATTTCTAAAATTTTAATCACCCAATTAAGAATGCGTTTGAAAATCTGAAGAGCCAGAGGGGAGCATCCTAATCCCAACCTAAGTGCATAGCCAGGAGTGTTTGGAGGAACTAAGAGAACTTTTTTATAAAAAGATACCTGGGCTTTGTTAAAAATTTCTAGTTGCCCTGCACCCCAAACCTCACTCCCATACGAAAGAACGCTAGCGACTAGTGAGTTGAAAAAGGTTTCAAATGTTGTCCACGAATTACATTTTGTTCTGCGAATAACTTGGAGTGCAGCAGACATTGCAATATTTGTGCTACGTAGCTTCTCATTTGCGCAGTTATTGAAAATCAAGGAGTTAGAGAAATTGATTCCGAGGTAACAATACTCTTTATTTATTTCAATGCGGTTACCATTGAAATGAAATTTTACATTGGGGGGGTCTTCCGGCCTTCTGAAAAATTACTACCTTGGATTTTTTATCATTTAAAATCAAACTGTTTGTTTCAAAATAGACCTTAAGGGTGTTCATAGACTTCTTTAGTTGCGTCGGGTTTTCTGAGAGCACAACAATATCATCAGCATACGCAAGCGCTAATATATCGTGTTTATAATTGATCGAGACACCGTGACAATCATTTTGACGTAGAAATCTTTCGAGATCGGATATGAATAATGAAAAAAATAATGGACTTTCGATGGTACCTCGGAGGACACCCTCAGTAATATTTACATACTCAGTTAACCCTCGAGGAGTGTTGATTGCAGTTCTGGCATGTTTGTAAAGGTTCTCATAAACTCTTATAAATTTCATCGAAATTCCCAATTTGTATAATTTATTCCAAAGTTTACTGTGAACAATACTATGGAAAGCACGTGAGAAATCGATAAAAAAGGAGTAGATCCTGCCTTGAGACATATCTAAATGAATCTGAGCTATGGCCATGAGGGCAAAGATGTCATCAGCACACCCACGACCACTCCTAAAACCAGACTGAAACTCAGGGAGTATCGAAGATAATTCTGCCCATTTTTCCAGATCCATTTTTCGTTTCTAGGGTCCAGCAGCAAGTCTTGGTAGGGTGATGGCGGGAAGAGGTTGAGTAAGAACTGATGCCACTCCATCAGGTCGATCAAATTACCCAAGTTCGAATTCCGAGGTCGATACATATTGACAAACTTTCAGAAACTGGTAGGATCCTTGATGTCTGCTAGTATTCTCCTCGTGAATTCCTCATACTCAAACTTCTTCTGGACAATGAGTTTCTTATATGACGCCTTTAGTTGGTAATACCATTGGCGATTCTCAAGACTTTTGGTGAGTTGCCAGAGGTGGAAGGTCTGGAGTATCACCTTTTGCTGAGTTGCACAGTCAGAGTCAAACCAGATTTTCTGTTTGACGAGGGGTTGACCCCTGCCCGGTTTTTTAATCAGGTTTAGGCTTTGTGCCGTACTCCTGATCGAATCTGTCAAAGAAGTTTATATCGTCAGTTGATAGGTCACCTTTCCAGCTGACTGAGGAAGAGCATCTTATAGGCGTAGAGAGGACCACCTACTGGGTTCCAGACAAGACGAGGAGGAGGCGATGAAGAACTTCGCTGAACTTGATCGGATGGCATGTCTTCGCAATCTGTCACATATATTTCGACAACAATCGGATAGTGATCGGAGTCTACGGGAGCCACATTCACGTAAAAATCATGAATAATGGCAACATGGTTCAGATCAGCACATACATAATCTATCGTCGATTCTTTTTGACATAATTGGAATGGAGTGTGTGTAAACTTTGCTGGGGAGTCATTCGGGGAACGCCCGTTAAGGACAATCAAACTGATTGGAGAAAGTTGTTATTGACCACATCGGTGTCGGGAACTTTGAAAATTAACACGTTATTCCTCCCATTTAAACTCCTAAGATAAACAATTTCTGACTGTAATTTTTCACATTTTGATGCAGATTCCAATTGAGTGCTTTTGATCTCTTCTACTGAGACACTGATTTTGTCAGTTTTATTAGTAAGAAGTTGGATAGAGGACTTGTCAGGCATATTGCCAGCCAACGCCTCTATCATGGCTTTTAATTCGTTATATTCACTCTTAGCCATAATGAAAGTCCGAATTGAAAATTGAAAATTAAAATCACACACTGTTCATTTGTTCGTGTCACGAGTCCAATCAATAACTAGAAGACACTTCCCCACAATTGGATATACAAAAAAAAAACTAACACAGAAAAATGATACCGAGTGATGAACACATTTAAACGGAGCTCTCTTCAGACACGTCTGTACTCAACCACTGCCCGGCGCGATTTCCCGGTGGCTGGTTATATTTAGGGGGTAATTACTAGCAAAAAGGGGAGGGGAGGTGCAAATTCCATCTCGTCAGAACAATTACAAAAACCGTTGTAGTTATATGAGTTCCACCCTGAAAAATTTGAAACAAATATATGCTGTGAGAAATATTGTTGAGAAAGCTGTGTCAAAATTTTGTTTAATGACATTCACTGATGGTTGAGATATTAATTTTTTTATGATTTCGCGTGTCCCCGCCGTGCGCTACACAATTTAAGCGCTCTCAATCCGCCGAAACTTTGAACAACCGTAGCTCACTCAATACGTATTTCATGGTAAGGTATGCTTTCTTTGTCGTTGTAAAAAAAATGAATAATTATGAAAACTCTTGTTGTTTGGCAGAAAATGGATTTTTATTATTAAAAAAAAAAAATGATTTAGACATTCTGAACAGTTTTGACATATGATCAGGAAAATATGATGCTAGTGCCGCCGTACTGTTGATACCCTTTAATAATGTCATTTTTCAATTTTTTCCTTGTTTCTTTAAAAAATTAATGATTCATGATTGTCTTATTAAACTGAGTGTTAAGATTAATGGACACAATGCT